TATTCATGAGGTTGGGTTTCTCTGGCCAGAACTCTACTAGTATTGCTTGAAGTGTTTGTTTTTTTTGCGACTGCATTGCCTTGCCATAGACTGTCAAACGCCACAGAGGCAGAACGACATGTAGATAGCACTACATCTCCATTGCGCGAAGCTGTTGAATGATGACAGCGCTCTCACTTTCTTTCCCGCCTTTCAATGAGCCTATTGCACAATGACGTGATTTGTACCACCAGCACCGGACACAGCCACCTGTGCATGGTTGTGCGGAGGTCTTGAACAATGCATTGCTGATCCCAGCGTACTCACATGCCTTACTCATGCAATCCATATTTGGCAATGCGCAATGTGCCTGTAGAATGGTTTCACATGTATCACATGACCATACTTGATGGCCATGTTGGTTCCAACTCCACTCAACTCCTGCATCTATGAGTCCCATGAGGTCGGCCATGTTGGTTGTACTTTTCATAATATTATGACATGTTCACTTTTTCTACACGAATGTAATCACATGACGAAGATGTGAAACCACTCTCTTCTTCACCGTCCTCCGTGTGTGTGCAACAGATCCGCAAGGCCGGCATGAACCTGCTGATGCTGTGGGTGCAGGGGCTGCGCGAGAACGTGACGCCGTTCGCCGAGCACCTGTTCGCGTCCGTGGTGCCCGGCATTGTGCCCGTGTCCGAGCGCAGGTCCAGCGGCGTGCCGTGGGATGGAGCTGAGAACTGTGAGTGCGGTGTGGCCACAATGCAGAATACGCATAGCGCCGGCGGCCACTTTATCATTTGTGTAGCTCATAGGGATGGATTATTACAAATGGCGAGAAATTAGTAAATGGTCTTAAAAATTAGATAAAATTCTTGGAGAAGGCGGTGGAGCTATTTCCACCGCCAGAATTTAGTGCCCCCCCCCCCCCCACACACACACGTCGCACTGCTTCATTCAATGTGTATTGCACCTATGCCATGCCGTGCAGCTTGGATTTCTGGCCCGGATGTCACAACCTCCGCCCCGGATCTGCAAGGCTCTGACACAGTGACTGACGTCGCTACAGTAGCGATGCTGGAGGACTTCCTAGAAAGCCTGACTTCACAGGTAAGTAATTACTATTGTTACATATGAGAAAAGCCAATCAGGAACCCCCCCCCCCCCCCCCCCCACACACACACACACCAACACGAGCGCAAGCGGTCTCTTTGGTGTAACAGTTATTGAGATCTGGAATTTTGCAGCAAAGAGAGCACGTGCGTTAGTGATTGTGTAGGGTTGTCTGTGCTGTGAAGTGGCTGCATTTGAGCTTGTGCACTTTAAGAAAAGTCAATCGGGGTGGGAAAGAACAACAAACCTCTTGCTCTCTTCACTCCGCCACTATCCTTTGTTCATGGAGTGAAGGCAGCGGTGCAGCATGTCTTTGTTGTGTAGTCTCTCTGTGTGTGGTCTGCTTGAGCTGGGTGCATCTACTGTTCCAGAACTAGGAGCTCCTCTAATCGAACTTAGTGGTCACTATGTGGCTGAGTACGAGCTCAAGATTTCAGGGACTTGCATTATTATAATTTTTATTGCAAATAATGCTGAGTAATTACACAATGTATAAGAAAACAGCATTTGCCAAAAGGAAGGAAGAATGAGGAACGGGCGGGGTTAATGAGGTGCTTATACGCGTGCAACTGCAGAATAGGCGACACAGCAAATATCAAAACAGTCCTGAAAATACGCGAACGGTCAACAATTTACTTCAAGTTCAACAAACTTGAGATAGGGACCCCGGATCGCATAGTACGCTGAATGCATCTCTTCACTTCAAATAGAGCGATAAAAGCCATGTGTGGCTACAAACTCTGGTTACTAATGATGGATTTGCTGAATCTCTGTGCTGTCCTTTCTTCTTGCTCTGTATCCGGTGCGTATCTACAGTGCGTATCGACCATCTGGGATACAGACGCGGCGCCGCACAACGGGTTTGATCTGCTCTTCCATTTGTTCAAGAAGCACTATCTCTTTGCGCTGTTCAAGGAGGCCCGCCTGCACAATGGGCCGTTTGACGGCGGAAAGAGTAAGGCTTAAACTCTGATTATGAGATGGAATTCCACGTTTGATGATGCCTTTAGCCCCCCAACGATAAAACGAGCACTCTCTTGGACAGCCTGGAACCTCTCTGTTTTACATGGTATCATGACATGTTCGGGAATGGATTTGATTGGGGATTTTTTAAACATTAGAGAGGTTCTGCTATACGTGAAACGTAGAGAAATCACGTAGAGAGCAGGTGTCTGGGTTAGAGTCTACGGCTTTGCGTGTTTTGGGTCCAGATTTCTACGCGTAGATGAGGTTCTCTACGTTGTGGCACACGCAAGGAAAATGCGTACGGATCTGCTGGGTATCATTCGAGTGCAGGCAGAAAACTGCCAAATATGGAAGGGAAATTCCCAGTACACATTCCACGTGACTTCTCTACGTGAAGCGTAGAGCAGAACAGGATTTCTTTACGTGACGGGAACGCGAAGAAAGTTCGCGTGATTCTTTGCGTCGCGTTCCCATAACGTAGAACAGAACCTCACTATTAAGGACGTTTAGCAACGCGAAAGTTCGAAAGAAAATTCGAGTCTGGGAATGAGTACAGAAAAAAAGCTCGAAACTTCGAAAACTTGGGACGCAAAGTTGCAGTGATTTGCGAAAGTAACTTTCTCTTTTCTCGGTACCCATTTGACTACAGGGAGTAGTAATTTTACAGCCCCTGCTTGAGACTGAGCTGCATATACAGTAGTCGCGCGTCCAAGAACGTTGTTTCCAAGGGGTTAGCCTGGGACGTTCTTATTTTTCAGCAATCTGGCTGCGTTCTTATGGCACGTTAGAAACAATCCGTACTGGATCATATGTATCCAACAAGCTGCCAGAAAACCAACACCTCTGTTCTTATCTTTAGGCTGTGGCGTTCTTAGAATTTCAGGCTGGACGTTCTTGGGCTCCACGTTCTTCAGCGCGCGACTCTACTGTATGGTACGGTACTATAAAGGCCGATTCATACTTCGTTTTTTGCGACGCGAAAGCGTGATGCGAAAGTGCGAAATGTCTGGCGATGGCGATGGCTGATTTATACTTTTCAGGTCATTTTGCGAGTCGCCTCAAGTCGCACTTCACGTGGTCAACTTTTTTGCAACTACAGTGTATAAAGTGTTGTTCTCTTGGCAACAGGAAGTTGTGCCGGGAAACTTGATTATTGCCATGTGCATGCTTGTCTAGAAAAATCCAGTGACGTTGTTCTCGTGTTTCTTTTCATTTTGTGAGAGACGAGTGTTATGATATACAGTGTTGCTCAATGAGATCTAGCCGCGTCAGTAAAGTACACGACCATAGACCTGCGACACTGGGACGCGGACTTATGCAAGGCGCAAACTTGAGTGACGCGACTGGATTTCATTGAGCAGCACTGTATTTTACATGGCCTGATGACCGGTATTCTGATCTGGAGATCTGGCAATCATACAACTGCACAGAATCAATCTGACGATAAACAATCACATAATATTATTATGTTACATGACCTGATGACCGGTATTCTGATCTGGCAATCATACAACTGCACAGAATCACTCCTCAAAGTCGGCCAAAAGCTTCTGAACTTTGGCCTTGAGCTGGGCCTTGGTTTTTCTTGACAAATGTTCCATGCTAAGGGCAAGTGCATTGCACCAGGCGGTGTCTTCGTTGTCGCTGGCTGGTGCATTTACCCTCTGCTTGGCCAGCGACAACACGGTGTTAGCCGTAGATACCAAACTACTAGTAAGGTCCACGTCGTCAGCACGCCGTATCTTGGCCTTTGGTGCTGTTGCAATTTTCTCAGCAGCTGGTGATGGCACAGGTGGTGCTGATAGAATGGCGGGTGCTGGGCTGTCCAGTGCTTCCTCCTCTGAGCAATCCTCACCAAGAGGAGACAGGGCCAGAGGAAGAGAGGAAGCCGAGAGAGGGAGAGAGGAAGGCGAGAGAGGAAGAGAGAGAAGAGGTCGAGGGGGGAATGAGGCACAGCTGGAGAGGCAGGGGGGACACATATTGCTTCACTAGTGTTGGATGTAGTTGCCCTCTTCCTTATCGTTGAGTCTACAAACTGCATGGCACTCCACAAGTGCCATGCAGGAGCAGGAACACAGACGGTTCCGGAACCACTCCGGGGTAGCTTAGAGATGTGCTCCCTCTTCAGGTGCACGTAAGTATCCCGTAGATACTTTCAAAAATTTCTTCTGGCACTCGGCGAGTGATCTCAGCTGAAGATCCTTGGCAGGTTGCGACTCCACCACCTTCAACCATGCACGCTCCTTCAGGAATCTGGAAACAGCATGCACATGAAACAAACTGGATTACAGGTATAAAGTAGATGAAGTGGTCAATGCGGAGACAACAATTTAATGAACAATTGCAATTGAACTTCATAAATAGGGCACATTTCCCTGCCATGCCATGCCGGCATGCCGCGAACGAGGCTGATACTCGATGTTATGTATCCCTGAGTACAGTGGGTGCGACCATGTTATGATCAAGCCTGTCCCAGTCACTGGCGGCATTTCATATTCCGAACAAAAGCGTCGAAACCCCAATCAAGCCATCCAAGTTCCACCCAATTCTGCATGCTAATATATAAGGCAGATCGATCTAATGACTGCGGTGTAGTGTGCACATTCCAGCACATTCCACACTGGACAACTACATTGTAGCCAAGAATAAATTTCTGTACATGTAAAATGGACAAGAAATCTGAAAGAACACATCTACCTGTATGCAAGCAAGGCAAGTAGCTCACTTGTCCTTGTTATGCTTTGAGGTTTTATCCCACAGACATCCGTACCGTCGCACCTCTTCGACAAAGTACTCCTCGTGGCTCGGCTTTCCTTCCACTACACTCACTTCAGGTGACTCGGGCTGAGAGTGAAAGCTGGAGTCTTGGAGCATCTCAGCAAACGACTGTGAATCATCGAACGTAGCCATTGTCAAATACAAGGTGTGGAAATGAAAATCAGTACCGTAACGTACCGTTGATCCGCCCCCACGCCATGTCGCTTCCCAGCCGGTTTTTCGGCAGGGGGCGGGAATTAGATCAAGGCTGTCAAGTGCAGTACGATGTACAACAACTTGGAGGATCAGACTCGATGTGCTACATTGTGCACATTTTCATCCTGGATTGGCACATATTGTGCACAGCAGTGCAAGTGTCGGTTCAATATCGTATTTAGTTGTATACGCCGAAATCGCTTCACAGGTAGAAAATCGACAGGGGGCGGGAATTAGAGAGGGGGCGAATCAACGGTACTTTACGGTAATACTAAGAGTACATAAACTGTTTATGCACTCTTGGTATTACCGTACAGGAAGAGTAGACAGCAAGGAAATGAAAGCCAAATACAAAAAAGTCTTCCTTGTCAACAACATGTTCTCGAGCTCCGGGAAATAATTCGAAAAGCAACTCGTACTCCTGGAAAACATTTCCAGACAAAATACACACAAAGTAAATAATTCATCCCTTGAACTCCTACGCACCCGTGCCGCCATTGTTTTTACCACGGTGAAGCGCTGTCGTCTCGCATCGCTGTCGCGAAAAGTCGAACTTGGCCAACTTTGGCGTTTTGGTGTTTGCGTTGGTTTGCGAAGCAAGTGCGACGTCGCAAACTCAACGCATCGCATCGCGCTTTCGCGTCGCAAAAAGTGAAGTATGAATCGGCCTTAAGATTCAAATAACTTCGAGAAAAGTCATTTCGCATTGCTAAACCTCACAAGTTTTCTTTTTCGAAATAGATTTTCGCGAAATATCACCACCACCAAAAATTCTGCGTGGTGGTAGCTACGAGAACAGTGCCAGTGTTCTACACGGGCCGTATTTAATTACAGTGAAACCTGTCTAAGACGACTGCTCATGGGACCTTCAACACCTGGTCTCTGTTACCAGGTGGTCTCCTTATCCAGGGTCCGATGACTGGAAATAGCATTCCTTGATCCTGGTTTCAGTGGTCTTCTAGGACAGGTGGTCACATTGACAGGTTTTACTGTACTATGCCCTGTTCACGAGTAGAATATGCACCATGGTTCTAGGCAGTTGTCTTCCCCGTTCTGGTGCAAGCACCGCACATGTAGGTCGTTTCACCTTATGTACCTGTGACATACTAGTATTGGGTTTTGGTTGCCTCACTGCTATCTCTCCCTAGTCCAAGTCACTCAGCCAAAGCGAAGCTATAGACTCAGTATCCTATCGCTACACTTCAAGGCGGAAATGCTGATAATATAATACACTTAACACATCGTTTGACCCATGCCAATACAGCTTGTCCTCCTCGTTGCGTTTTTTAAATTGTCGTCTCCTCGCCGCTTGCTCAAATATATTACATTGCTCACTGCCTGGTGTGTTGTTTCTCCCGCCTGTGAATGACTGCAGGCATGTTCAAGTGTCCCAAGCCGTCCCTTCTCAAGCCCGAGCAGAAGAACGTCCGGGTGACGGGTCGCGTGGTCGACGCCATCGCGCGCTGGATGATGAAGTGGATGACGAGCACGCAGGCGCACGCGCCGCCCTGCTCGCCGGTACACCCGTTCCAGCCCGACCGTCCGCCGCCACCGGACCGTTCGTCGCAGCCGGGCAGCCTGGACATGGACAGTCCGGGCGAGGCGGCCAAGGCGCAGTTGGCCAGCGAGGAACTCTCTGCGCTGGTCACCGACGTGCTGTACGAGTCGCACGAGAACGTGGTGCTCATCCACGAAGTGTTGCGCTGTGTAAGTAATTCACTAAGTTGCGTGTAGGGAATGTCCTCCTTGTGCGCATTCCGTCTTCACTCTCTCAATGTACTGCGCCTGCCTCAGTCCATGCCTGCCTCAGTCCATGCCAAGCACATCAGACTCTGTGCCCCCCTCCCTCCCCGATCTTTTCCTAACCGAGGCTTTCCAAGTTGGAAAGTTGTTGTGCTTTGGAGATGCGTTTGAGCTAGTTGTCAGGTCGTTGAAGGTGTCAGTACTCTCTGTCAGTTTTGGCACACGCTCTGACGGTAACGTGGTACGATCTGGTTACGTTGGTAGACTGTTATTCGTAACTCGTACATGCACCAATTTGTCTTTCCTCCCATGCTACTCTGGAATCCTTTCATTTTTGTGTGGAAATGATCAGCATTGTTGTCTACAGTACTGTCAGGCACCGAAGAACGGAGCGCTGAAGAACGGAGCGCCGAAGAACGGAGCGCCGAAGAACGGAGCGCCGAAGAACGGCCAAGCTAGAATTTCATCAAGCACAGCATACCAATGTATACACGGTGACTCAACTGTGCACAGACTGTAATACATGAAAATAAGAACGGTCTAGGCTAGGAGGCTGACCCCCCAGTTTTTCGGCGACCGACGGTACTGTATTGTTTGTGTGTGCATCAGTGTCCACCGTGAACCCCATCCCACAATTCTGCCATTGCTGCCGTTTCTGGTATAGCTAGTCCCGTATGGCATGCGGCCAATATCCAGTGTTTGTTCACGTGGCTTGTTCCTACCCCAGGTATTCTTCCTTCCAGCCAGGTTTCACTACGAGACTCAGGAGATGGTCATCGAGATGATCCACCAGTGGGCAAAGGTGAGTACTACTGCTGGTAGCCGGTTTTGGAAGCATTTTTGCTTCGTGTCGTCCGGCAGTGTGCATCAAAGCCGGCACAGTGTCTCAGTCTTACATATCGAGTGTCTTGCAGAACTACTGCATGCTTGAGGAACACATGTACAGTCAACCTCGTGAGTAACGACCCCGTGCATAACAACAACTCTCGAATAACGACACCTAGTGATCATTTGACTGCACACTCTGAACCTGACGAGCAGCGACGCCTTTCTCATGCACAATCGAGGGTCGCTGTGTGCGTGTGTGTTTGTGTGCCTGTATGTTTGCGTGTGTGTGTGTGTGTGTTTGCATGCGCGTGCATGTCTGCTATTCTAATTCATCGGCAGGCTGCACCGAACACTCGGCCGTTATTCATGCAGGACGCGGCGGCCAGCCCAGTCCCTCCCTCTCCACAAATGTCTATCAACCGACATGTAACACGCCCGCGGTCCACCAGCGACGCTCTGCTCGCCATTAAGTCCGTCAAGGTACGAATGGCAGACACTTGCTTGTGACTGCACAGCATGCGGGTACTTCTGGGATATGCAGTGCACCTTCCGTTGACAGAAAAGCAAGACCGAAACTCCACTGGCTCATCCCCATATGCGGGGGTGGGGATGGTGGGAGGGGGCACAGTGCGATCCCACAATGTTTTGAGCTTTTGCATTGTATTCAGTTTCGTCATGGTGCATGTTGTGGGTGAGAAGAAATTATTATTATTATTCACACATATCCGCCGGATGAGTACGCGCGGCCTATGCAATAATTATAGAGATCCACGAATGCAGACCAGCACAGTAATGTTCACTCAGCAATACATGCAAGCAAAGTGGAATGAACATGCAGGTAGCGAAAACCGTTCCAAGGTGCAGCCAGTGGTTGTATGCGGTCATACGCAGATGCACAGATTTCTCGGTATGAGTTTTGACGGCTGACTTTCCATGTTTGGGCTTGTTCTCGCATGCACACAGCTTGCCCGCTCGCACTCGTTTGGCGTGCGTGCCGGTTTCGTCAGCAACATGCTGGTGTTCATCACGGAGACCAGCCAGGTACTGGTTGCCACGGTGAAGGGTGATGGCACGGGCATGGACGAGCAGGAGCAGGCGTGTCAGAAAGTCATTGAGTTCTACCGCGCGCTGGCCTTCCACGTCACCATGACTTCAGACATATGGTAAGCCTGGATACGCATATGCGCAGGGCACTGTCGTGTGCCGTAGCCCGGTGGTGATGTGTTGCGATCACATGGACTGGATACACATATACATGCATACGTATGTACGTACGTACATACGTATGCATGCATATGTACATGTGTGTACACGCACGAACCCAAACACACACACACACACACATACACACACACACACACACACACACACACACACACACACACACACACACACACACACATGCACACACACATGCACACACACATGCACACACACATGCACACACACACACACACACACATGCAAACATACATGCACACATACATGCACACACACACACACTTGCACGTACACACACACACTGGCACTTTCCCAACATTGCCGAAATGTGTGCATGCATGTGGGCGTTTGTGTGGGTGTGTATATGTGCATGCGTGCGTGCGTGCGTGTGTGTGTGTGTGTCTGTCTGTGTGTGCGTGTACGTGCGTGTGTGTGCGTGTGTGTACGTGTGTATGCCTTTGCGTGTGTATATATGTGTCTATGTGTGTGTGTGTGTGTGTGTGTGTGTGTGTGTGTGTGTGTGTGTGTGTGTGTGTGTGTGTGTGTGTGTGTGTGTGTGTGTGTGTGTGTGTGTGTGTGTGTGTGTGTGTGTGTGTGTGTGTGTGTGTGTGTGTGCGTGTGTGTGTGTGTGCGTGCCAGCTAGTTCGGTTGGTAGGTACACTTATGCCTGATTGTGTTGGGTCTGTTGCCAACAGGCTCGGCCGCTTGAAGGTGTAATGTTGTACCTGCCACCTTTGTTGGTTCCAGGGTTCATATGCTTTCTATTTGAAGTATACATACCTGTTAACCATGGACTGCTTCTGGCTAGATTAACTCTTGTGTAATCAATGGTGCTAGTGAAGCTTTTATCAGATCCACTCTGATTTAGCCGCTCACACTAGTAGCAAGTATTACCTTCACTGGGGGCAGGGGTAACTGCAGATGGATCCCGGGACGGATACCCTGATACCGTCAATCCTTTTTCTGCACCTTGTCCTCACCCACTTACTGAGGTGTGGTGAGCCCATAAGTGGGATCATTTTCAAGTCCACCCAGCGTTTTGGGGATTTCAGGGGTGTCGGCCGTTGGGCGGTTCAATAACCAATTGAGTCATCTTTCCAAGATTCCTTTTGAGTCTCTCTCCCCTCTCCCCACGGCTGTTTCGCGGCCACCACTTAACAATATGGCGGCCTTCGCCCAGGTTTACGGTGAAATTCAAAAATATTCTGAAAACTGAAAAAGATTTCAAGATCCTGTGGGATTCACGCGAAAACTGTGCTTTGTCAAGGTAACAAACACCGCGATCGGGACAAGGATTCAAACTTTTGAAGTCGCACAACAAAAAGTGTTCAACTTCGACAACAACAAACAAGGAAAGAAAAGGAAGGAGAAGGTAGACAGTCATGCACAGCAGGTTTTTGCTGGACGACGTCTCTTCCTGTTGTCACTACAGAGCTCAAATAGGAGTCAGCAGTACCGTTGTTATTTTTCTTACCTGGATCAGGGCTGAAATGGCCAAGCTGCTGCTGCGTCCAGGGCCTAAGCATCACTGCTCGAGCTCGGACGCCTTGCGTTTTCTTGATGCCGTGGCGGGACGAACAGCGTCATGTTGTGGCAATGTCCCGACGAGATGTTGCTGGCACATTGCTGTGAGGCGCTGCAGAGTCCCAGGAATGGCGTTATAATCGAAACTCAGCCTGTTGAATCTGGCGTGAATTGACTCGCTGCCCTGCTCGGCGAGTAGACCCAGACCGACTCCAAATTTCCTGGTGAACGGGACTGTGTGCTCCTCCAAGAGATGTAGTTTCGGAGTTATGTTGCCGAGCTGCCGGGTGATTATGGATTCTCTGCATTTGTGAAGAAACAGCTGGATGCAGTCAGCCAGCTTTGAGATGTCGGCCTCTGACATGCTGTTGCAATGGCTGAAACGGTGGCTGCAGTCGGCATATCCCGAAAACAATCCATGGTACCGCTGCTGCAAAATTTCTGCATCAGCAACGAGCTGCTGGCAACGAGTGGAAACCACCTCAACTGGAGCAGACATCAGTGCTCTTAGTACGGCAGGCTGCAGTGTGCGATGTACATGGTTGCCCACGAAGGCACCGCCATGGTAGGCTTGCCGATCAACATTGTGTGCTTGGAGCACAGACTCGAGACTTGACGCGCATGGTCCTGTGACTTTCTTGTTCTTTCTCATCTCGTCTAAGTCTTGTACGAGTTTGCTGTGCTCAGCACTTGCAGCAGTGAAGGCGTCGCTGCCGGCTTTCCACAGTTGCTGTATTGCTGCAGCTACAGTGTCCATGTTGACGTTGGGAAAGCTGGTCGGTGCGTGTTGCTGCAAGAGCACTGCGTATTGGAGCTGCTGCTGTAGTTCATCGCTCTTCGCCTGGGCATCCTCCATAGCTTGCCTGGCGGACCGAACTTTGTCGCTGAGAACTGTTAGCTCTTGAAACTGGAGCTGATCATCTGCACACGGCTGGAGAGTTGCTGCTGCCAGTTTCACGTCCAGTTGTTTGACTTCAGCTAGGTAGATGTCATACAGCCATGCGAAAATGCCGAGATCCAGATGTAAAGACGGAATAACAACGTTGCTGACGGGAATTGGCAAGATAACTGGGCGGATGGCATTGTTGTGGTGCTTGGCTTGCGAAAGATTTGCTCCAGAGGCGATAAAGTTGGCATGATCCACTGCTATTGTCTCCAGTGTTCTGCCCTGATGATCTCCTGTATCACGCTTGTCTGCCGGGTGCTCCATCTGCTTCTTCGGACAAAGGCAATGGAGACATGGGCGATAGCCACTCGAGCCAGACAAACCATAGCACTTAGTCTGGTAATCATAGTCACCAAAGAAGAATAGCACAAATGACTTGCCTTTCCACTTGATAGTACTTTGCAGCTCCTTCACCTGGTCTGCATACACTCCAAGTGCGATCTGGAGGTTGGCAGGGCTGTCTGGGCAGTCAAACACGCACAGAGGAATGGTGTTGTTCAGCGAGTTCGGATGCTTCAGGTTTGCTACCTGGAATACAAACTTGAAGGAATGGCCGCCGTGGTCACCGCCAAGCTTTAGCCAAATCTCGGACTCCGGAATGACATTTCCGTGCCAGGTCAGCCACCCATACGTGTCGTACAAGTCCAGATAGTGCATCACGATGTCAATGAGATTTGGCATGTACACCATGCATGCCATCACTATGCTGCCGTCTTTCTTATTCATTGGCACTTCCTTTGCTGTGTATTGTGGAACCTGCTGCGCAATGAATGTTCGGGCTGTCTTCTCGGACTCCAGCTGGATGCCGAATCCAGTCAGCCAGCGCTTCAGGTGCCGCACTCTGTTCCATGGCAGGTTCATATCTGCTTTCAAGGCAAGCAGTGAGCCCTTGGCCGGTGTGCTGTGGCGTATGCCGGCATCTTGCAGCAGCTGATCCTGCTCTTGTTTACTGAGCGTTCTAAGTCCAGCAACTTCCTGCGCTCTGGCTCCAGTTGCTCCTCCACAAACAGTGTCTGCGTGCCTCACCAGTTCAGACGAGCGGCGTCGCAGTGTGCTAGGAGCTGCCTGATCCGAAGGCACACTACTCACCACAGTGCGCTGATAAACTTGCGGTCTCCCATGTGTGCCTGTTCGCACCGTCAGCCTGCCGTCGTGTACTTTCGATGCTACTAAGTGATTCGTGAGACGCTCGGCAACATTACCGCACAGTTTAGAAGGCGAGGCAGACAGCACATCCTCAACTGTTGAGAGCGGTCGTACTGTGCGGATTGGCGGCGTATCTGTTGCTGGGTTGAAGGAGCAAGTTGCTACGTGCTCCTTGAGACTCCGGAGGGGTACAACTGCTGGGCAACCTTGCAGTGATTGCATGTGAAAGTCACACCGCACGGACCAGTTGCCGATTATCCTTGCAAGAACTCTGCCTGGCTGCTTGAGCTCTGACGCTCTCATAGGTGCAGCGCACACTGGACACTGGCTGCTGCTGGCTAGCCATGTGCATATGCAGTCTACGCAGAATAGCTCTTGACAGAATGCTGCTTCGACTACATTGTCGATAACATTGTTGCATACAGTGCACTTTTCTATAGCATGTTCATCAATAAATCTCTCCTTCGTTAGCTCGGCGCTTGCTTTGTGCATGCAGCTGGCTATGGCTCGCACACTGTCCACTGATGTATCCAAGCCATTTCTAGATGATGCTCCTGGGACATCTGTTGCACTTGTTGTCTTGTGTGTTGCGCACGCGTGCCCACTGTGTGCGTCTGCTGCGTCTGGCGCTGCCGCACCTCGTAAATCTGTTTTCTTCTTCTGATGCTTGCCCCTGGTCTTGGCAGTGTGATTCAAACAAAAATCACAGTGTGTGCGGTGGTGGGGCTGCCATTTCACGGCAGGGCCACAACCACCACCACAGAATTTGGATGTGCCACTTGCTCTTTTCAGTGTTTTGTCACACAGACTGCATATATACGGAGGATGTATGTTTTGTTTGTCCTGTGACACATTGACATTTAGGACAGACAGGAGAGTGTCAGCGTGTTTCTGCACACTGTAGCGGGTTGGCTGCTTACAGGAAGAGAATTTCCTGCCGCCTAAGCGGCACACCTCTTGCAGGTGCTGCGTGTGTTCGTCCATGTGTGCACAGTGACTACAGTGAGAAGAAAGAAAAATTACAATTTGTTTTGACGCACGGTTTTCGGACTGTGTGCACGGATTCTCATGAGATTTTCTCCATGTACTTCGTAGATACTTACCAGGGAGTCGTACTCAAACTAGGGAGGTGACACGGCACAGAAATCCGTGTCACAGGGGTTGACTCGCACCCGTGACCCCTCGTTGTTATTTTTGGAATAGTTCAGTCCAGTCCAGTCCGAAAGGTCATACTCGGATCGACTCGCCTTCTGTACTTCACCTCCAAGCGTGCCGCATGGGTGTCTAGTTTTTGAAATTATTGAGGCAGCACATTTCGTTTACAGCCCATCACTCGCCAGTATTCTTTGAAAGACTACCAGCAATTTTTTTAGCTCCTGCCATGTCCGAACTACTTGATAGCAGTGATGGCAACAGCAGCAGTTATGAAACGGCGTGTAGTGTTGCGGTAACTGTTCAGAACTTTTCAGAGTCGTATCCTAGGTTAATCCGAATACTAAAAATTGACCCAAATTGCACATAACACGAAGCTGGTTTTTGAAAATTGTAAGTCGTGTATCTGCCCCATTTCTTCTTTATGACTTGCACAATACACCAGTCTTCCTAAACAACACATTTATAGCAGGGGTTAAGTACCATATAAGAGAAGTACAGCCAGTGATATTGTCATGTTGAAATACTACAATTTTGACACAAATTACACATAATACGAAGCCAGGTTTTGAAAATTGTAAGTCGTGTATCTGCCCCATTTCTTCTTTATGACTTGCACAATGGTCCAGTCTGCCTAAATAACACATTTATAGCAGGGGTTATGTACCATATTAGAGAAGTACAGCCAATGATATTGTCATGTCTAAAAACTACAATTTTGACACAAATTACACATAACACGAAGCTGGTTTTTGAAAATTGTAAGTCGTGTATCTGCCCCATTTCTTCTTTATGACTTGCACAATACACCAGTCTTCCTAAATAACACATTTATAGCAGGGGTTAAGTACCATACAAGAGAGCTATATTGTACATCTAGTCATACTGTCATAAACAGCCAGCATTTTTCCTGCAGCAGTCACACCACCATCGTCATTATTTCCAGGGAAATCCTACATTGTCAGCTCCTATGTCGTTAGATACAATGTAGGGGGCTGTAGGACCGGCTCGTCAAAAATAGAGAACCTGAACAAGCGTGCTCGGGACGTCTCAGCAATCGTAGTATGCCTGAGCACTCCAATAAAAACTTGATCAATGGCAAAATCGTTCCCCACAGAAAAATCATACTTTGCGGGTCTTGCGTTGCACGCTTGGAGGTGAAGTACAGAAGGCGAGTCGATCCGAGTATGACCTTTCGGACTGGACTGGACTGAACTATTCCAAAAATAACAACGAGGGGTCACGGGTGCGAGTCAACCCCTGTGACACGGATTTCTGTGCCGTGTCACCTCCCTAGTTTGAGTACGACTCCCTGATACTTACCAACGAGAAATTCAACTGAACTAGTTAATCAGTAACCGGGAACAGAGCTAGGAACGCCAGAACTGTTGAGGAAATATGGA